GTGCTGTAGGGATGACGCATGAGTGACGCAAGGAGAACACCCCCCATGTCATTTATTTTTGGTAAAAAATCTCTGCTATATATTATCATACAGTATAAACGTGTAATAATCACGAAAATGTGGCTTATGGACTTTGGTGTTACACATTTATTGAGTCAGGGTTAGTAACGAAGCTCATCGTTACGTATTTTAAATAACACGCACATTTACACCTTTCTTATGGTGGACGTCAGACTTACCGTTATTGTGCACCAAGTTTGGTACAATGCCAGCCAGAAACTTGATATTACATATTTATCATGATTATCCTCTGAATCTCATCTTATTGTGGCTACTTTATGAGCGGTGGCTGTTACCATTATCAAGGCATTAATTCAGCCAATGACGTATTTGTAATTAATATAATGAACGTTATTACTCTCAGGTTTTTCCCTAGGCCGAGAAGAATCTTTCGTTTACCGCATAAGATTTATACTTTTCCCTCTAATCAATACTCTACGATGACCGAATATTTGGTTGGAAAATTAACAGATTTCAAAGAAGGAAGCGTGTATGTTCAATTGTTGCTGCTTAATGCTCGGGACGTACCTTCTCTGATTTTTTAAATTGGTAAAAAATTTGTAACCTTGATAGCAAGGAGGTCGCTGTCGGCGAATCTAAAGTTCTTCTTTCTAAATTTAATGGTCAAGTAAACGCAACATCTCACAAGTGTACGCATTATGGGGTAAGCCTTCGAAAACAATTGCGTTCTAAATTGCTGAAATGCAAATGAAAAAGGTGTAAAATCCCTTAAATACATGAAAATAGAAACAAGAATGATGTCGTTTAATCTCTTGTAATAAAACTATTTGATAGGCACCTCTCATCAACGGCGTTTATTCAAGTGACGGCCGCATAACTTGGCATGCATTTTAGTTATTCCGGTTGTTTGTATCCAGATCACCGTGTCTAGTATTTATTTACCCACTAATGTAATTATATTACAGTCCTTGGCATGGTGCTTGTTTTAATCTTACTACTGGCGACATAGGTAATCATATATCTCTTATGAAAACGCGCGTCGTAGTATACTTTTTGTTCGACGCTCATAATTAATCGATTCTTTAGAGGACGCTCCTGCGTTAGACAATCTTCAGAAGTATAAGGTGTTGTGGTCGTTCTGTTCAGATTTGCCCGTCATTCTTGTTTTAAAAAATAATCATGCCAAAAAAAAAAAAAAAAAAGGTTATCATAAGAGGAGAGAATATTTATGTGGAGGCCGAGGATGTTGGTACGTACATTTGGATTCGTTATGGATCGTAATTCTATATTCTTATTTGCGTGATTATTTCTCAACCCTCACGTGACTAGCTTTAAAGTCGGCTAGGAGACCTCCGAGATGTTCTGCAGAAGTGTCTCCGTTCAATGATCATGTTGTGGTAATCATTGGTGGCGGTGCAGGTGGGAATGCAGCAGCGGAAAGCCTTCGTCAGGTTTGACACGTGGTTGATTGAGTTTTCCTTTTTGCTTCGCGTTGTCAGCTAATTAAACTTTTTTTTTTTTTCAGGATGGTTACGGTGGCAGGATTATCGTTATAAGTCGTGAGAACTACTTTCCAATTGACAGGTAACATTTGAAATGCACTATAATTGTCGTGTGAAAATAATATAAATAATGAAGACATTGCTTCAACTGTCGTGTTCAAGTAATATAAATAATGATATTTTTTTCCTATTTTTTTTTGTTTTTTGCAGACCAAAGCTTAGCAAAGCTATGGGAGTGCAACTTGAAAAATTAGAGATTAGAAGTAAAGAATTTTACGATGACATGTATATCATATTTAAGTTAGGAATGGTTAGTAATAAGCCTATGATGTTGATTGAAATGAAGCTTTTATTTCAAGTTGACGGCAGTCACACGTGTCTCTCCTGCTAGTCTGTTACCTCTGTGGATTCCGAGGCAAAGGTCGTCACTCTTGATAATAATGAAAAATTGAAATATAACACGCTTATTATTTCCACCGGAGCTACTGTGAGTCGTGTGTATCATCTTTTCTATATAATTCTTTCATCTATTTAATGAATAGTCTTCTGCAATGTTATTCAGCCACGATCTATCCCAATCCCCGGAATTGATCTCGGCAATATTTTTTATCTCCGGACCTACGATGACTGTAAAAAAATCGAAAGAGGTAAAAAATTAGCATTCCCGATTTGTGACAAATTGTGATCGATTCTGGCATAACATTATTATTCGACTCTCGTTATGTTCATCGCTTATGCGCATGCAACAGCTGTGGTAAAGGAAGAAGGGATAAATTTGGTGATCATTGGATCGTCCTTTATTGGAATGGAAGTCGCGTCGGTCTACTCCAAGAAAGCAAATATATCAGTGATCGGCATGGAAAAGGTTTCTAGGACTGGTTTGAGGAAAGTTACTTGTAAAAATTCAGGAGTTAACATGAAACTTTATCTATAGGTCCCATTTGAAAGAATCCTTGGTTTTGATGTTGGAGGGGCACTTCAAAAGTTTCATGAAGCGAACGGCGTCAAGTTTTATATGTCGGCCTCGGTGAAGGGCATTGAGCCTTCAAGTTAGTCCGAAAATGTATAACTACATGCACCTTTTAAAGTTATGGTATACGACTCAGCACATATTATTGTTTTCGGAATACAGACACCGATCCTACCAAGGGAGGAGCAGTAGTCTTAGCTGATGGTGCCAGGATCCCTGCCGACATCATCATCGTCGGAGCTGGCGTGGCGCCGGCAACGGTAAAACATCATTTTATCGCTGCCCTCAAGTTGTGACTCGAGTGAGTGAGGAATGATAACTTACTTTAACTCGAAATATTATCATTTCAGGAATTTTTAAAAAATTCTCCAGGATTCCAGTTGGAGAAAGATGGAAGCATTAAGGTTGATGAGTACTTTAAAGTTGTAGGGCTTGAGGATGTCTATGCAATCGGTATTTATTAATCGATGCGAATAAGTTAATGCTATTTTTGTACGTTCCCTAAGAGACGATTCGATTCGTAATCAAGGTGATATTGCGAGATTCCCGTACCACCTTACTGGAGAGTCGCTTCGCATCGAACATTGGGTGTGTATCTTTATCGATGACATTTGAAATTCCCTTTGTGCTAACAAACCAAACTCTTTTCCTTAGGCATTTGCTGAGAATACTGGTAAAGCTGTTGCGAGTATGATAGCGAAGAATCAGCCCACTCCATTCATAAAAGTTCCATACTTTTGGAGCACTCAGTATGGAAAAAGCTTGAGATACGCTGGTTACGCCAGCAGCCACGATGATGTGATCGTGCACGGAAGCCTAGAGGAACTGAAGTTTGCGGCATATTATACCCGTAATTATTTTTACATTTGAAACCAAATGTTGCCATTGTACTATATAAATTATATTCCTGTCCTATGTTAGGTGGCGACAAAGTTCTGGCAGTTGCTACGCTTGCCAAAGATCCACTCGCATCTCACTCTGCAGAACTGGTTCGTATTGATATTTAAAGAGCGATCATTGACGAAAGATTTTTTTTCTCTTTGCAAAATTAACTCTTACCATCGTACGTAGTTGAGGCTTGGCCGTTTCCCCAGTGTTTCTGAAATTAAAGCTGGCAAGGTAATACTATTTTTTAAGGTTAAATTAAAAGTTTGTCTTACAAAGAATATTACCAACATTTTTTTTTTTTTTGTATCTTCACTAGGACCCCCTCACCGTTCCTTTGATAGGTAAGAGGTTGCTTTATAATTCATTTACAGATAAATGAACTTTACTGAACCCAGATTTTGATTGTGTTCTCTTTACTTGTAAATATGTAGTATAATGTTTCGAGTATACTATGTACAATATGCGCTGTCTTCATTCATGCTTTATGCCATATTAATTTATGTGTTGTCCAAAGATCAAGATTAATGCTTAATGTCAGAACCTAGCCGGGAAGGATAATGTAAAAGTCTTCGAGAAATAACAAGATCCGTAAATTCAAAGAATACGTTTACATACTTGACTCGACATTACGATAAGTGAAATCAGAAATAATAATCCAATTTTGTAAATATACGAACATCAAAGGTGTAAAAAAAAGGTCGTTACGTCATTTGCTTTTTTCTATACTGTGCGTGTATAAAAAATTTTTCTGTTACTTCTGTTTTCATAATATACACATCGATATGAAATATATTAAAATGTGCAATCATTTTGACAAAGTAGTGATTACAAATAAATAGATGATACTGTTGGGGATAAAGCTTACGTGACCAAAAAAACCGCGCGATCACCTAATGAAACCCTGCGCCAAGTGACAATTGGAGCGGGTAATGATGCCATCGTGATATTAATGTAATCTATGCTTATCCAAGAACAACAATAAACGCCCAAAGATATACATATCTATTGCACAGTATATAGAAGTAGTAATCCCTTTTTTTACTCATGTGAATGTCAGTAAATAAAGGCTCATCCAAATCCTTTATCATGATTCACCAGTATTTGATATCTGTTGAATATGTGTTTGGACTTAAATTGTAATCCCAAAATTGTATTTTAAAAATATAATTTAAATTTATGAAGTCAAGTTTTGGTGTGAAAAGAAGTATAGATAAGAGGGAGGGAGTAGAGATAACTCTTGAAGGTATTCTTCAAGTTATTTTAAGAAAAGTGCTAAGAATTTGTTAGCATAGAAATATAAAACTTTTTGCAAATATCTTTTTTGTATATTGTCAATAAATCAGCAAAAATTTTTTACTTAAAAAGAATAATTGGTAATATCAAATATTTTACATTGTATATTTCTATGTATAAATAATATCTTTTATTATAATTTATTTATAATAGATTTAGAGTTATCAATTAGATAGTATGGAATTAAATAAAAAATATTATTATCAATATTATTATTGAGTTAATTTTTAACTAAAGCTATAAATTAGTTTATTATTACTATAATATATAGAAATTATGTTACAAAATATCAAATTTTTTTAAAAAAACATCTAAATAATATTTTAATACTATTTATTTAAATATTAAAAGAGATTTTTATTTTTTACTACTGTTTGTAATATTATAAATGAGTTTTATTTGATAATTCTTTCTTTATATTTATATTACTATAAATTAAAATATAATATTTTAAGCTAAAATAATTGAATTTCAAAGTTTTTCAATATAATTTTTTGATTTAATAATATATAGTATATTTAAATAATTATTATAGTTTTAAAATAGTGTTTTAAAGTTTGATCCTCTAACTACACACAAAAAAGATATTTGTAAAAAGTTTTTATACTTCTTTGCTAATAAAGTCTTAATACTTTCCTTAAAACAACTTGAAATATAACTTTAAAAGTCACCTACACCCTTTCCCTTTTGTTTATAAATCTTTTCACTCAAAAACTTGACTTCTAATAATCAAGAAAAGTCAAGTAACGCCTTTGATACCAATGGTAAAAAAGTTTTCAAAGAAAGAAAAACTAGTTGTGAAATACCTAATGGTCTATCCAATCTTTGAAACAAGAGATTTATAAAAGTTTTCTGTAGTAAAAAAACTTATTTTCTTCCTTTTTGATTGTTTTGACCCTCTTAGAACTTTTACTTTCATAGTTTTCTAGTAATTTTATCTATCTCAATTTGATCCTGAATTTTAGATGACGCAAATCCTTATCAAAGATGATTGACTGACATAAAACATATTAGTTTTTAAAATGTAAACAAGCTTCTATTGGTTACATCCACATGTTCTGATAATATTATTGATAATTAGAAAGAAGGTTCTAGAAAAGTTTAACCCCAAAAGCTCAAGTTCTTTAATAAAAACTTCTATAATATCAAATGCCCAAATGATAGATAATGTGGATTGCAAACTTCTATCTCTTATCTAAGTTCCCCAAATGGTGACAAAGCTTTAATGAAAAAAAGCTGGATCTAAATGCTTTCCTTGAGATATCTTAATTTAGTGCTCACTTAAATAAAAGACCAATTGGATTGACTCATCTGATGTCACAAGTGATGAAAAAAAAGATTTCTTTCAAGATTTAAATGAAGCAAGAAGACTATCTCAATTAAGCAGATCCCTTTCGAAAAGAGGTTGGTTTTATTTTTGGATTTATTTGATAGATCTTGAATTGTCTCCTTTCATCAATTATTTTTCCCTTTCCTCTTTTTAACTTAGCAATTCATTAATTTTTAGACAATCAACAGTGATAAACTAATGACAATAATCTTGATAGATAGAGGTTATTATCAATTTATTAGAGAAGTATAATATTGTTCCCAAAATCTGACTTAGAGTACTTATATATAAAAACGAGCTAATTACTTTATGAAAGTCTATAAATTATTGTAGATTTACTTTAATTTTTCAATAAAAACAAGCCATAATAATATAATTGCGGATTAAAAAAAAATAGTATTTTAAAGTTTATTAATATATTTTTAAATTATTATATTGAATAAATTATTATATTTTTATAAAAAATAATTAAATTCTATAATTAATAAAAAAAAACTCTTTCTGCTGATCCTCCTTTTTCCTAAAAATTTCCTTTTTTGGCAATTTTTTTTGAAAAAGCAAACCTGGTCAAACATACAAG